TTGGAACCCCCCCCCCCCCCCCCGCCCAAAAATTAAGATATTTGAACAATAATTTCTAATAATCTATGTTTTTCTTGTATCAAATGAGTTTGTATGTTATTATTTTTTGATTACTTGATTTATTTATTTATTGGTTCATAGAAAATGTTCACAAAACAGTGAAAATCACTTGTTTAGTCTGATGAAGATATCAAAGGTATTGATCCGCAGTCAGTGTATTACCAAACCAGCGCTGTCAAATTGATTTATTTTAGATTACATTAAAAAAAAAAAAACATGTTAAAAATGGAAATGAACACATATAATTGAATGATCTGGAGTGATAAATTAAAAATGTTCAACATTCCTGATTTGGAAATATAACAATTTATTGATCTCTAATGCCACCTTTATATATTTCTATTTAATGCTTTACTAATGAGCCACAATTATTTTTTTGTGTTCAAATATCTTCATTTGTTGGATTTAATTGTTGGAAGTAAATATTGATATTGATTATAACCACTTTATTCCAGTGCTGGGTGTGTGTATGTATTCGTATTGGTTTATAGTGTCTTATTCCACTGTCAGCATAGTAACAACAGAACCTAAAAATAAAAACAGTGGTTTCAGCTCTTTTACGGTATATGAAAAGTTCATATCACACAGGAAATTAAAACCGGTGTAACTGGTTCATTCGGTATATATCATCCAGCTCTACTTTCACCCCGAAATTCCACCGTGCGCGGCTTAATGACGTCACATCTGCGATGCGGTTTGGCTCCGTGGTCTGCACCTCTTCAAACCCCATCGAGAGCGGTTCAGACGTTGTTTACTCGCGTGTATTGTCCTTTGAGAGGACACAAACCATGGCGGAGCTGGGATGCGTTGTGGCCGTGCCCGTTGGACTCTGGCGTTAACTTGGTGTCAAACAAGTCTTTCAGAGTCTCGTGGCTTTGAAGAGCATTGATGGATAAGACTGCTTTAGTTCTCCAAACTGAAGGCTCACTGGCTGCCGTCTGCTGGTCATACACCGAATACAACCCAACTTCAAAATACTCAAACTATCCCTTTAATTCATTGTCAAAGTTGTTTCTATTTTTTTTTAACCCATCAACAAACTGATTGATCAACTAATCGTTTGAAACGCTGTAAATCTCAACTGACAGCCGTTATCAGCAGCCTTCATGTGTTCACTCTTTTATTGAACAGTGAAGGGAACGGGGGCGTTCAGGATCCATTGTTGGTCTGAGTGATAAGGACCCGGGAGGCGGAGGTCAGGGAGGAGGATCGGATGTGCTGGTTTAGAAGCCTGATCCAAATTGAGATTGCGGTTGGTTCAGATGGTTCTGTGTAACAAACCTCATAGTCATACAGCGCTGCTAGCATGACTATAGACTCTCAGAGGGTCGACATGCTTCATCACAACTGCTTGCTTAAACCTTTTCTGTTATATTATACAGAATATAAGTATTATCATGTCTCTCACATCTGTGTGTGTTTGTGTGTGTACCTACTGTATGTATGTTGTTACACAACAGTGGCCCGGTGAGCCAACAAAGGTAAACTGACTTACTTACTGTGTGTGACGTATTTTTTGACAGATTCATTGTTTGCTGAAATGTATTTGTAATATTATTAGGATAATTCCCATTAATCACGCATCATATTGCACATATCACAATATCTGTCTAAATAATCACAATATTTATATATATTGGTTATCATATTATGAGGCCATAATCCTGCCACCTAAAAAGAGGCAGAAATAGAGTAGTAGAGTTATTCTTTATATATATCAGTTACATAACATATGTCGGGTGTAAACAGCATTATTAATCTTAAAACGTTGAAAAACTGTCAAACATGATGGTAAACGACCGTAAACTCTAAATAGGTTAAATACAGTTTCTGTAACAATAAACTCTGTTATATCTTATGGCAAAACCTTTACTTATATGATTTTGTGAAGGATTTTATATGAAATAAGGTTGTTTTTTATATTACAGACTGTAAATTGCTTTGGTGTTTTCATGTAGTAAAACTGTTTCTTTTGATGGTAAAAACTTTAATCATAAAGTACTAATCTTTTTATCGTAAAAGTAGAAAAGTTTTACTGTATTTATTAAAGTGTGGTGAGATTTCCCTAGTAATATAACATTTGGGGAAATGAAAAATCAGTACGAAATGGTGGTTTTTGAACCACTTGTGGATATTTCCGCCTCCCCTGAGGGTAAACCTGTGGAGAGGTTCAGGATCTTTATGGTGCAGATGTGTGTGTCAGTGTGTGCGGCTGAAGTGTGTTCAGATTATCTCTGCTGATGTTTGACCCCC